TCTAGACTTTTTCTGGAAGTGGAAGTGGAAGGCAGACACGTGGTACTCGAGTATGTTTAGTTTCTTTCAGTTCCCAGGCGTTCGGCCGTTGCGGGAAAAGAAAACATGAAATGATTTGAGTCAACACTAAGGTAAGGAACAAACCTAAAAAGAAGAACCATTGGATTCCACTGATCTGCAGATTTAACAAAGTTCGTCGTAAGTGCTCCACAGTACTGTTATAGTTGGAGCGTGTGTTCTTTAGTCTCGTCCATCGATCGATCGTACTGAGCAATAAGAAATATGTCAGTCGAATCTTAACAGCACGGAACAAGGCACACTCACAAGGAGCCAAGACGAGGAAATAATGCCCCTTTTGGTTTGTAAACAAACCTACGATGGGCGATGCATAGTAGTTCACAACTCAGACTTTCTTTTGTACGCCATGTAGCTTCTAACAAAGATCTTATCACAAACTCACCATCTTCTCTACCTCTTCAAAGTCTTTTGCTTCTCCGCATTAGTAGCCACATTCCTTCCTTCCACCAACAACCCCTTTCTCCTGCGCACACTATCCATATACCTCTTGGCCACATTCTCCCTGTCCCCAAACTCGCCCAGGTCCTCCAAGTCGTCTTCGGTGAAGGGCACCCAGAAGGGATCCTCGTCCAGGATCTCGTAACCCGTGAAGATCAGCTGTGGCTGCGCGGCGCCCGAGGTGCGCTTGCGCATGTCGTCGGCGAACCCAAACGACTCGGCCACGGGCAGCAGGGCCTGGATAGTGAAAAAGGGCGTGCCTTCGTTCATGGCTTCCGACTGCACGCGGCCGCGGCGGCGGGTGAGCACGTCGTAGACACGGCCTAGGACTTCGGCTTTGTGGACGTTAGTATGAGTAACTTGACTTGTAGGGAGGGTGTAGGGGACAAATAAAAAATGATGAAAGAAGAACTTACTGCTCGCTTGAATCTCGCACGAGTACATGGCCAACATCAAGCGCGGCGACCAGTCCAAGAATCCCTTGTGAATTGACTGCTGCACCGTCTTGATAACCTCACCCGTCAAACGGCCGATCCTGTCACGGGCCGACGAGGCCTCGTCGTCCTCCGTCTGCGCCACCAGAACATCCTCCACGAAGACGGCGATACCCTGCACGGGCTCGTTGCAAAGCGGCCCTTGCTGCGTGGCCAGCTGGAAACCGTACATGATCTTATCGCTGAAGTGGGCTGGGTGCAGCTTCTCGTCGCCCGTAGGCGCCTGATTGCGGATCTTGTCGGCCGAGAAGGCCTTGCTGAAGAGCTGGTCCTTGGTGGCGTCAACGAGGATGTTGGCGCCCGTTCTGCGCGGGCCAAAGGAGGCGATGCGGTCGATCACGTCCTTCCAAGCCTCCTTGTCTTTGACGCCGTCGAGCTGGGCCTGGAGCTGCTTCTTGAGCTCCTCGGGCGTGAGGGTGGTGGCGGCTTGGGACACCTCTTCGTCTTCTTCAATCTTGACGTCCGACGGCGTGCCGTTCTCCAACGTAGCCTCTTCTACAGAGGGTGACTCGACGCCGTCCTCGACACCAGCCGCCTTGCGGTCTGTGTACAGCCGCTTGATGCCGGCGGAGTTCTTCTGGAGGAATTCAGTTACGGGGGCCGGGAGGGGCCTGACGCGCAGGGTCACCGTCACCTGCTTGGAGCTCGTGACGCCGACAACCACACCGCGGCCGAGTTCCTTGTTCACTGGAGGACGCATCTCTTCGGCACGAACGATCGTCTCCCGGTACGGCACAATGGGCGCACCGGCTTGGATCTCACATCGCGCAAACCGCTCGCGCAGATCCGTCAGGCAGCGTTCGAGATGCAATTCGCCGGCAGTAGAGAGGACGTGCTCGCCACTGGAGAAGTGCTCATACTCAGCGCACGGATCGCTCTGGACAAGGAGGTGAAGACCCTGAATCATCTTGTCCAGGTCATAGGGGTTGACAGGCTCAAGAGCGACACGGACAATGGGGCGACCGGCCAGGTTGGCGATACCAGCCAAGTTGACCGAGCCCTCGAGCTGGCTGCAGAGCGTTCCGGACTTGAGAAGGCCGCTGCCTTCGAGACCGCGAATACCGAACACGACACCAGCTGGGACGGAGGGAAGGGCCTCGAGATTGCGACCCATGAGCATGTAGAGAGCGGTAACCGTCACCTTCTTCGGAACGGGTTGGGCATGAGGATCAGCCGGAGAGAACTTTGGGGGCAACACATAGATCTCGTCGCCAACAGAAAGAGTGCCCGAGTAGATACGGGCAAAACCGATAAGATGCTCCGCTTCGACGGGCTTCTCCTCGAGTTCCGGCACGGCATTGTCGGTCAAGGAGGTGCTGGTGAAGGCGTTGGCCAGGTCGTTCATGTCAGCGTCAGCGTCGGCGCCTCCCTGGGCACGGATGGCTTCGGCACGCTTCTTTCTCGCCAGCTCTCGAGCTTCCTCCGGGCTAAGCGGTCCGCGGCGCCTGTTCTCCGGCAGCTCGCTTTCAGGCACGGATATCATCTTGCTAACATATGCAACCATGGGCTCAGATGGATCTTTCTTGAACGAGACCATGGCATCTTTGACCTTGGAATCGATGTGGTCCGCGCCAGGTACGCTTGCCAGGAGGTCTGGGAGACGGTCCGCCTGAGCTGCTTTGGGCGAAGGCAATGACTCCACCACTGAGACGAGCAAAGCCGTAGAGAGAGGCAACCAAGAAGCAAACACCGTGGTAAGGAGTAATTTGGGATCCCGAGAGCGGAGGATGTGAGGCGGTACACTGAGGTTCAAGGACTTGGTGATCTTCTCCAAAAGAGCGGGATCACCCTTACCGGAGTCACCACCAACCGTGGCCTGGTAAACAGCCCAAATTGGCTCCAGAACCAACTGGACAAAGATGGGCTTTAGAGGTCTGCCCTTGAGATGCTTAGGCCCAAGTACCTTTTTGGTCTTGGGATCCATGTAGAAGTTGCCCCAGAGAACCTTCTCCAGCAAGCCACGCTTGATGCCGAGCTTCTTTTCGTACATGCCGGCAAACTGACGAACAGTAAAAGCCCAGCCGTCGATGGCACTGCCAAAAATAACATTGTTCTTCTCTGGCGCAAAGTAAATCTCCTCGTCGTCTTTTTCCTGAAACTGAAGCTCGCCGGAGTCAGGTTGACCGGCAGCTATCTGAGCCTCCTTGGCCGCAGCGGCAGCCACTCTTTCCTCCATCCGGTCACGCCAGTTGAGATCTTCTTCCATGCGCTCACCTTGGAAGAAGCTTCCAAGAACTGCGTTGACTTGCTCGAGAATTTTGCTGAGGTGGATATAAGCCTCGCCCGGGGTCATCTTCAACTCGGTAACCAAACGGTCGATTTTGTTGATAACAAGAAGGGGCTTGAGCTTCTCGGTCCATGCTTGGCGCAACACGGTTACTGTCTGACTGCAGACGCCTTCGACAGCATCGACCAAAACAACGGCACCGTCACAAAGGCGAGAAGCAGTGGACACTTCACTGCTGAAATCGATGTGTCCGGGGGAGTCGATAAGGTTGATCAAGTACTCCTTGGCCTCGGGAGTAGCGTCAGGAGCCGACCTCCTCAACATGGAGAAGTATAGTGAAATGGCTGAAGACTCCATGGTGATACCTCTTTGCTGTTCATCCGGCCGGGAATCGAGATAGCGAATCTTTCCGGCGAGTTTTGGTGAGATGATGCCATTGGTGGCGAGAAGGGCATCTGTGAGTGATGTTTTCCCATGGTCCTAAGGAGAATGAAGTGTAAGTCTTTGTAGCAACAACACATAGAGGCCAGGTACGTTGCTTGGGTATAAGGAATACGTACAACGTGAGCCAAAATACAAATCTGTAAAACAAAGTAGTTAGCTTCATGTCCTCGAACTGAAGTCTTGTTGGTTTTTACACAAGGATGCATATCACATGCAGCTCAACTTACATTCCTCACGTCATCGGCATTTTGTTGGAGCTTGGCCAGCTTTTCTGGCTGGACAACAGGCATGATGATTATTCACAACTGATGAGCTTCCTTTGAGTAAATAAAGATTCTGTTTTTGGCGTCGGGACTACTGTAGAGCGCAGTTGGTTGTTTAGGTGTTGGGCTTAATCGAGTGAGCTTATTGAATATGAGAGGTGGTTAAAGTGATCGCTGATTAATATGGGAATGGGTAAAGGATGGGAGGCGTCTTTGGAAGTCGATCTTGGGCAACTTTTTGGCGGGGCAGCCTTTTTTTTTTTTTTTTTTTTTATACAGAAATTAAGGGAAAAAAGCTGGAGCCAGACAACCTGGAAGAGAACGTGAGCCAAGATGCACAAGAACTACATTTGTGTATTATTCTCTGGGAGGTTTGGTGCTACTATTTATTTTATGTCTGTCACTCTTTAGTTGATACTAAGCCCAGAAGTAGTGCACACGCATATGCTTTTTTTTTTTTCGCGCCGACGATGCCCGCCGCGCGGTGCCTGACTTTCAAAGTTGACTTTGAAATGATTCATTCGCTGTCATTTGAGATGGCATCGGACTGGTTCCAGTTGCCCCTCACTGCCTGCCACCTGTCTGACCTGCTATTCCACAGTGTGCTTGATAGTTGAATTCCTCACTCTGATATTCGAATTTCAATCGTTCAGATCGAGTGAGCCATCGATATATCCATATGCTTGGCGCTTCCTCTGCCCGTCAGACAGTGGCAGACCATACCCTAAAACTGCATACACCCCGCTTTTCTCCCAAAATCCCCAACGGATATGGAAGCGACCTAGCGCGGGTCCCGCCCCCCTCACAATGCTAGCAAAGTGGGTGAAAGAAGCCCACGGACGACGGGCCACACAGCAAAAAATTGAGCCCCGCCAAGCAAAGTCCTGTCGATTCGCTTCGGGCCACTCACTCTTCGCGACCACAGAGAGACACCACCGACCTCACCCACACCACCACCACTCCGGACCCCCGACGCCGTAGTGAACTCTTCTCGACCCGGACGCGACGTCGGATTATCCTTTCCCGAGTCCTCCTCTCTTCCCACTATAGCCCATCATGAGCGCCTTCCATCAAGCGCAAGCGCCCGCCCGCGCCATCGACCCCGATTCGGACGTCGAGGAGGAGGCCCTCGTCAACGACTACAAGGAGCAGGTCCAATATGAGGAGGATGACGCCGAGTCCACCCAGATGTCCCTCGCCGCCCAGACCGACGACATCCAGTCGCGCCTCGCCGCTGCCGCCCAGCCCCTTGACTACTCCGCCGGTCTGGAGGTCAAGTTCTCGAGCTACGATTCCTACTGCAGCTTGTTCCACTTCATCTTGAACTCCGAGGGCCCCGTCGACCTCGAGCCCCCTTCCGTTAGTCTACCTCCGCGTACTCCATGATCATCGATATCCTCCGCTCCATGGTCTCATGGGATAGCTTTGTGCTGACACATGTTTTCTTCCTCTTGCTAGTACTACTGGGCTTGGGACGTCATCGATGAATTCATCTACCAGTTCAACTCGTTCTCCTCGTACAGAGCTCGCATCGCCCGTCAAGGTAACAATGAGGAGGAGATCGCCATGCTCCGCGAGAACCCCAACACCTGGGGCTGCTACAGCGTCCTCAACGTCCTCTACTCCCTGATCCAAAAGTCGCAGATCACCGAGCAGTTGGCCGCCATGAAGCGCAACGAGGATCCCGCGGCCGTCGCCGGCGAATATGGTTCCAAGAACCTCTACAAGATGCTCGGCTACTTCTCCATCATTGGTCTGCTCCGCGTCCACACCCTTCTCGGTGACTTCAGCCTCGCCCTCAAGACCCTCGACGACATCGAGCTCAACAAGAAGGCCATGTTCGCCCGCGTCATGGCTGCCCACTTCACCACCTACTACTATGTCGGTTTCTCCTACATGATGATGCGCCGCTACGCCGATGCCATCCGCATGTTCAGCCACATCCTGGTCTACGTTTCTCGCACCAAGAACTTCCAGAAGAACGCCCAGTACGATTCCATCACCAAGAAGAACGACCAGATGTACGCCCTCATCGCCATCTGCGTTGCCTTCCAGCCCACCCGTCTGGATGACACCATCCACACCGCCCTCCGTGAGAAGTACGGCGACCAGCTCCTCAAGCTCCAGCGCGGTGGCCCCGAGGCCCTCCCTATCTACGAGGAGCTCTTCCGCACCGCCTGCCCCAAGTTCATCTCCCCCGTCCCCCCCAACTTCGACGAGCCCGAGGCCAACATCGATCCCATCGAGCACCACCTTTCCGTTTTCATGGACGAGGTCAAGACCAACATGTTCAACCCCACCATCAAGTCTTACCTCCGCCTGTACACCACCATGGATCTCAAGAAACTCGCCGGTTTCCTCGAGGTCAAGCCCGAGGAGCTCCGTGGCTGGCTCATGGTCAACAAGCAGCGCACCAAGCAGCTGCGCTGGACCGACGGTGGTCTTCTGGAGGGTGAGCTTGTCAACGTCAGCGATCTCGACTATGCTCTCCAGGGTGTAAGTGATCCCCGTGCTGGCGCGGTGAAAACCGTGTCGAAATTAGACAGATGTGATTTCCAGTTGCTAACAGTATTCTGCAGGACCTCATCCACATCTCCGAGGCCAAGGTCGGCCGCAAGTTGGTTGACTGGTACCTCCGCAACCTTTCGCGCACTTATGCTTGAATGGGTTTCTAAGCGCTGCTGGGACGGGAATGCGCTGCTGGGGCGGAGATTCGTCTCTTTCTCATCGTCTTTGTCATTTTTTGTAATTGGCGGGAGTATCAGGGGCTACGCAGGTCTTTGTCAGCAGCATTTGCATTAGGCGTCAATGGGATTGGTCTATTCCAAGGAACATCTCAGGGAGGGTGGGAGGTCGGCAAACACAAAAGCAATCCATCTGGCAACAAGAGGAGAGAATCAGGAAGTACCCATGAAAATGGGAGGGTGTTGTGCTGGGACCTGGCCTCAGGAAAGGGTACCAGTCTTGCCGAAAAGCCAAGACGGTATTTCCTCCAAATATCAAATCAGGCTCTATCCTAGGAATAGGGCCTGTGGAGAGTCAAAGATGGAACCGCATACATACCTCAAATACCGCCGCGGCTGGCACGCCGCGTAGGTTCGCTCCTCTTGTTGCACCCACATCGGTCTATTAGGGGTGTTGATACGCAGTTGGAAAAGGCGTACTCTACTATATGATCAGTTAGTACGTAAGTTAACACAATGGGGTAGGAAAAACAAAGCGATATTTAGACAGGGTTCACTTGTTATTTTGCCAGCGCTGAAGTTGTTCATGGCTGTTTTCTATACCATCTAAGAGAGGTACCTTAGCTACAAAAGACCAAGAGAAGGGTCCGTTCGATCAGTTGTAACCTTGAAACTTTCTTACCTCCAACGTTGGATTGAACCCCCGAAGGAGAAAAACCTTTGTTTGACCAGTGCCGGAGGCCTCCGAGTAGAGCCCATGATGGATGAGGAATTAAGAAGCCATTTCCATAGCCGAAACAGGACCATGAACAAGAAGACAGCTACATATGTAAGTGATACGGTGATACGACATTAACAGCAGGGCTGAGATCGATAGTCTCTGCATACATAGCTATCCAAGACGGTAACCACGGCATCGTCTGACAAGATGGAGGAAAGAAGATATCGCCAAGGCCGCAAAACCCGAATGGCACACCCACTCACTGACCCAGTTGCCGAGCCGAAGCTAACGCAACTTGACAGCCTCCGACGACACCCTTAACCGTCCATCGTACATACATGTGTACAGCACATCTCCATGGATGCTTGGCTTGCGTCTTTTTGAATGATGGGAGGCCTCCCGTAGCCTAGTCGTTCGACGTTAATGAAGATGAGGTGGATACTAGATCACTATCTCTCGGTCCGACTTGTGGAGAATTTTACGATGATAATGATGATGAAGAAGAAGAAGAAGAAGAAGGAGAAGAGGTCGGCGTTTGAGTATGTACCAAGGTAGGTGAATGGTGTATGTTGTAGCACGTCAACTTTCTTGCGTAGTGACAGCGGGTCGTCGTCTTGTAACAAGGAAAAGCTGGGAAAGACCTAATGTTCTTTGGCGGCCATTGATATCTAGTGTAGTTGCCTATCTATCAACGAGGTTTGCTGCTCTGTCCCGTTTTTTCACGAATATAGGTACCCACACAGTTAAGAACTTTAAGAGCAGGAGTGTTGACACTCTTACTCTACCTCTAGGTGTATGCATGTGATAAATGATTGTCTGCCGAGCCGACCTGTCGGCTTGGAGATGTTACTCACCGGCACATATATTGCTCGGTAGATATATGGTGTCACATAAGCGAATGGTGACAATGACGTATGGTAAACGAGAAAGATGAAGCATGCTTGAAGTCTATGCGCTGGATCTCTTTAGGGCTGCTTAGGTTGTTACCTTAGGTAAGATTTTCCTCTCAGCAAATAGGTTCAATATAAGTAGGTTTAATGTGAATACTCAGACGAGTGAGTGATCGATTACTTTATAGTTGAGAAATTGAATGTGTGGTTGGTCTTCTATGAATCCGCTCTTATAACGGCTGGGAATGTCCTGGCATGTATCGTGTAACATATCGATAGCCAAGCCAACTTGCTGTGGTCTCTGTATCTGATGTATCTGCACATGATATGAGCCTTCTACGGTGTGTTGATAGGTCTTTGTTTGATAGGTCTTGGTACTACCGTCCTTCATCATACTTCCCTATGTAGGATCATCTAGTTCATCTCCTTGGAAAGAGACGTACCGCATATTTGCACTCGATATCGGTTCACTCAACTAGGCATAGCGCCGGGTATATCTGGCTTCGAGCAATCTGCTAAATGAGTTGATTCGGCTCGCAAGGTTACCTCGACGAGGTTACCTGGGAATGATACAGGCGAAGAATTGAGTGAGAAAGAGCGGTAGTGTCGTTCAACTCAAAAAAGTAACATCCAATGCAATGCTCGCTGTCTGATCTGCGGCGTTTGGTAGGATTCCGGCAGCGGCCGTTCGTCTTTGACAATCTTCACTGGACAATCCCCCTCCCATCTCCCATCGGACACATCCTTCCGTGACATTCTCATAGCGTCATTCCAGGTTCCAGGCCCTCCAATCACTCCATTGACAGGGCTTCCCCAGGCAACCAAAGCTCCCTGTATAAAGCCAATATGGTGCGTTGCTGCGGTTGACCGCTCTCAGCTTACTCACAGCAAGATGGGCAGGACGGGCAGCGACACCCCACTGATTAGCGACTTGGCGGACAGGTGCCGAAACATTGTCGTTGCCCCTTTTGTAGTGAAGTCTAAGGGTTCTCAAGGGCCGTGCCAGGGTTTCTTTCTTTCTTTTTTTTTTTTTTTTTTTCCTTTTTGCGAGGCTGATAATGTCATTGGGCCTGAACGACCCCTGATGCGTATGATGGAAGAGGGAGGAAATCTGCTTGTAGGTAGAAGGAAATATCGTGTGTCACGCAAGTCACGGTCTTTGGGCAAAGTGTCTGATAGTACTGTTAGTGTATGGGTGTTCAGTCGGAATACAACCCATCATATTCCATGCGCATTTTGTGGCCCTGGAGCCTACCAAGGCGTCTGCCAGAGGAGAGTGGATAGATAGTCTGGGACCCTGCTCTCGAGGTGCATACCTAAACCCTCCCTCGACCGCAAGATGGCCCATCTTGAGGTCACTGATAACACCAAGGCGAGGCGGGCTATCACAGGTTCATGTTGTGGTTGGCACTGCCAAGCACTAGCTTCTTGAATCACAGGGAAAGCTTGGCCTGTCGTGTCTTGTTAGACATTCCCTTCCGCCCCGGAAGGCAGCAGGGGGGGAAGTAATCTAGGGAACAATCGTATGCCTGGACCATGAGAACCTGGGGAAAAGACCTTTTCGAAGTGAATCTCTCCGCTACAAGTGTCGGCAATCGAACTAAATCAACAGCCGAGGAAGAGAAAAAGACGGACTGAGGCTTCCAGAAATTATTAGCTTGATAGGGCAGTGGGGGAGGTTGCAATCCCCTCATGCCCGTGTTACTCATCACCGAGCACGAGGCGCGGGAAAGGAAGCAATTTGGCGTAGACCGACTAAAAACAGGGAGCTAGGTATTCGGTAGAAGTAGCAGGACCTGGGTAGCGTACATAGGACCGGCCGTAGCCCACAGGTACCTCTAGGAACGAAGCTGTAGACATACCTCTAGGCACTTGGCAGGCAGCAGAAGGGAGGCGGCCCTAAGTTCCCTTGGTCTCTTTCACCAGTCAACAGCCCACGGGCAGTCCATCCACAGTTTGTAGCCCTGTTTGGTTGCTCCAGTCCGACAAAGCAGCCCAGGATCCGTCATTCGGTCAGCCCCGGTGTCACTGTCCGCTTGCAGAGTGGACGGTTCCTGCCAGACTTTACCCACCAAAGCCCACTCCAAAGGGTCGCCAAGACAAAAGGAGAAAAAAAAACGAAGCATACTTAAGACAGCCGACTCCAGTCGCTCCATTCACCAGGGGTCTGGACCACCCTGGAAGCGCGACTCCAGGTTGGGCGGTGATATTTATTTAAATCACTGGTGTTGCCAACCACGCTCGGAGCTTGTCTTGCCCACAAAGGCACGCTTCCGTTTCCCAGGGTTTATAGAGAGAGGTAGCCTGACGTCGGTGTGTTGGTTTCTGAATCCATCTCCCAACAGAGCAACGCCAAGCAGCGGAATGCAGAGCCCTTCCATAAAGCTTGGATTCGACACATGACGCTATAGCCAGACACGCTCACACGGTACATACATAAACACACTCACATACATACAAGCACGCACCGCACTCACACGCATACCTACAGAGTCTCTACCGCTCCCTACTTTTACACCTACACCCCCCGGCCGGCACTGGCACCTTCTATCTCCCATCCCGCCTTTGTCCCGTCTTACACCTCTACCTCGAGGCACCTCGACATCCAGGGAGCTACCTCTATCTTTCCTCCTATCCAGATAGCCGCAATCAACCTTACCGCATACCTCATTACGGGCAGAGCTAGTCTGCTCGTACAACCTATCCCTGCGCATTCCATACCTAAAATCAGGCGAGATTCCATCCAATATCCGGATCTCTTTCCGATAGTCCACCTGGACTTGGACACTTGGACTCATCTCCTCCGACCGCGACGACTCTTCACATCTTTGTAACAGCAGCCTTCAGCCTTGCCAACTATCCGCGCGCCACCCAGTCCAGGCAAACATCGTCGTCATCACATCCAGCACTTGCGGGTTTGCTCAAATCCCACCCTTTCAGCTTCCCTTTCCTGGTCACGACCCGGCCGAATACACTCGCCAAACTCCACGCTGGCGGCGTTGTTTCCAATCCCTATCGCCTGGAAGCTGCGTGAACGGACCCTTCCCGCCAGCTTCTCCCCGATCATCTTGCCATCCCTCATCCATCTCTGATGCTGGTTGAAGCCAGATAACCTTTGCTGGCCTTCCATCGAGGCCGATCAGTCGCCCGGATAATAGGCTTTGGACTCGTTATCCCTTGGCCCCGTTATTGTGCCCCCCCAACCAGCACCATCATCGCGATGGCAAAGAGTCTTTCCGACATGGTGGAGCTGATATCCTCACCCTCGGCCGTGAAGAGCCTCGACTCGGATGTGTCACCTAGGACCCAGAACTCCTCGAAGCCCAAGGACTATTTCTCGCCGCAACCAAAGGCCCATTCCAGCGACTCCGAAAACCAGACGCCCGCAGTCGATTACCGAGCAGCAACCACTTCCCCTACGAGCGGGACTAGCGCCTCGAGGCGCGTCAGCATCGTCTCTCCTCTTTCCTTGGCCGATAGCTTTCAGGATGAATCTCGGCGGACGTCACAGAGCGGCGGAAGCAGCAGCGAACGCCCTCCTGTCGGATCTAGAAAATCCTCCGCCGTATCCATATCCTTCCAGGCTCCGCGCCATCCCGCGCTGCCGCAAGGCAAGCCCCGAAAGACCGACAACAGACGGCTGCGTGCGTCATCGCCTTCCCCCGTGAGGTAAGTTATCCCTCTCCGGAGAGTTGTTTGTTTCTGGCTTTTGCCACGCCCAAATCCGCACCATATATATCCTTCTGCATCACCCGCCCCGCCCAAACCCGTCCGATGTTCGGCGCCAGTGGTGCCTTGTTTCTAACGGGGATAGCCCGTGCTTGACTCCTTCCTCATCCCTGGCGTGATTTTAAGCTTTTCCCCTGTGGCCTCCTCCATCCCGTGGACCCTGTCATGGCTCGTTCTCCCCTTTTCAGCGATGGACAATCGGCACCTCAGTTGGCCGTGCTTCGCAAAGAGTCATTTGTCGTGGCAGCATTGGAGTTTGTCACAAGCGCAACAAAACGAGCCCGACAGGTGTAGTGGGGATTGTCTGGGCTGAGGTAAACAGACCTCCGAATCATGACGATCGTGGTGCCAGTGGGGAGTACAATATGGAATCACATCAACAGCCCAGACAACGGAGCAGTGCACTGGCTGATGAGCCTCCATCGAGTTCCGTTCTCCCGCGGGAACTGAAACCCGCATCACACGCCAAAGAACCAAAAAAAGCTCAGGCTCAGGCCCGACATTGTTCTGGCCTCATCCCTCCATCAGAAGACCCCATTCGCCAGCGGTCCGCTTAGGTAGCTTGCACCCCGCTAGAGGTACCTACCCCACCGGCGCCGGTCGAGGTTACCGTTTCCAGCACCTCTACGGATGCCAAGGGCGGCCAAGGGGGGCGCCCACGGTGACCTCTCCTCTGGACTCCAGGTCTTTTGGGGGGTGCCCGAGGTAGCTCTGGGCCGGGCGATGGCTCGTGGGAATTTTGCGCTCATGCAGTGCTCTGGTGGGGGGGGGGGGGGGGGGGGGGGGGAGATGACGGGCACGGCAGTCCAGGTCGAGACCCTTTCAAATCTGCAACATCCACATGCACAATTGGATCCCGTCATGACGCTCTGTTCCCCCTTTCGATCATTCACGCATTGCTCCCCGTACATATCACTCTGAACTTTTGATGCCAAACAAAAAGTTCAGCATCTATCCCAGCACATGGCCATCCTTGCTACATACTCAATTCCCTTTTGATTACACTTGCGACACATCTCATCATCTTGCAATTCAGCTTGCCACCTGCATAGTCGCCGTCGCTTTTGGTGTCATGTCGTCGTCGTTAACAAAAAGTTCTAATTCGGCTCCCAGGTTCCGACAACACGTTGGTTTTGACAACCTACCCGCCGGCGATTCGACCAAGAACAACACATCCTCCTTTACGCTCCATGTAAAACACCAGGGGTACCAGCCATCCCGAAGGTCTCGTACCTTTATGGTGGGTGTGGACGAGCATGCCTATTCCGATTATGCGCTGGTTTGGCTGCTCAACAACATGGTCGATGATGGAGATCAGGTAGTGTGTGTGCGCGTCATTGAGAATCCCATTCGTCCAGGGGAGAAGTCCTACCAGGAGGAAGCGAAGAAGCTGTTGCAGACCATTCAATCCAAGAACGAGCAGAATAGAGCTATCAGCATTATTCTCGAGTGGGCCGTTGGGAAACTGCATTCTACTTTTCAGAAATTAGTACGTCTTCTTGCTGACCACGGGCCCCGTCTGTCTTGCTTTTACTGACAGACGAGCGTAAATGTAGCTTCATCTCCACCAACCCTCAATGCTCGTTGTCGGCACAAAGGGCAGGTCCCTTGGCGGAATCCAGGGCCTGATGAACACACGCAACTCCTTTTCAAAATACTGCCTCCAATACAGCCCTGTCCCCGTGGTCGTTGTTCGACCAGACGACAAGCGACTCAAAAAGAAAGAGAAACGTACCCACGACCCGAACCGACAGAGCTATGCCGCCATGCTGGCATACAACGACGGAAAACACGAAGCCGACAGTGACGCAAGCAGTCTCTACGAGATGGAAAAGAATATTTCTCCGGATGAAGAGGCACACCGAGTGGCTGCCGCGATTGGGTTGCCAGCAGCGTTCGATCCGACCATTAAGCCGTACGAACCCAACAAGCCTCGCAACCGACGAACATCTCTGCCCTCCACTCCTTCTCCCACAGCAGCCGGGACGAGCTCCGTGTCTCTGTCGCGATCGACGCAAGCAAACGAGAGTGGCGACGAAGACACGGCCGAGGAAGAAGATGAGTACGAGATTGAGGCGGTCTCGGGCGACCAACTTCTAGCAGCAGATGGACGGAAGAAATTAGCACTTGAAAGAGAACAGAAGAAGCGACTCCACGCTATGGAAGTAGGAGAAGCCGCTGCCCTGCTCAAGTCAGGGCAGTCAGGAAAATCGCGGGATTCAGACGATGAAGATGAGGAGGATGATACCCTGGGGCGAACGAGCGACAAGACCAAGCAATGAGAACCGGTTTTTCGAGCCATGAAGGAAGCTACAGAGCATAACTGAGATATGAACAAGCGGGTATCTTCCCAGATGATACCAACCTAGTTGGCAGCGGTGCTGGATTTTGACTACGGTATTATTTTGGCGCATGACGGGCATTCAGCACAAATCAGCCTGTGTTGTTATCAAGGTGCCAAGGTGGCCCATTTGACGGATATTTACAACACCAGTGAGCATGCGACAAGTCGTCTTTGCTATACCGGGCCATTGGGAGTTAGAGATCTGTTCCTAGACTGCATGGAGCCGGAGTACAAGGGAAAAAAAAAAAAGCAGTACCGAACCCTTAACCTGCCCGTAGTACAATGGGCAGAGGCTCAGAGGTTCTGTCGAGTAATCATCAGCTTAGCTAAAATAAATCTCCACACAATAAGTTAAATAGTCACCACTTGTTCCCTGCCTTGTACATAATCCTCCAATTCTTTTCCCGTGATGATCTCCAATGTGGTTCGGGAGACTGGGAATCCAGTCTTAGTGTACACTACAGAATATGAGATCTGATCTTGATGGGGTGGGGGTGCATTGTCGCTCGTGGAGGGCCTCCAATTGCCGTCCGCAACGGTGCTCCTGGGGGTGTGGGGAAAGAGACAAGAGGAGTCTTTGGTGGGTGTCCAAAGAACCGCAAATAGGGGTGCACCCCGCTGTCGCATTTTTGAAGCCGGGGAAAACTGGGGTGGTGCCTGGCCGCGTTTTTAGCGCATGTACCTTTTCCGTAGGTAGAGGTAACAATTCGTCATCTACAGTACAATACTGGGTTCCAGTTGTTTGTTTGTTAGCCCTATACACTAGGTAAGCCACATGCAAAGCCATCCTGAACGCTGCTTTTACCATAGTACTTCAAACAAAATGTACAGGCCATAGTAAAAAAATGGATGATTATTATCTGGTCCGACATATTCATGCTGATTCCAGCCCTTATCGTCGAAGGAAACGTATCAACTCGTTGTTAAAGCACTTGGACAAGTTGACCTAAGGTCTCGAACTAACAAATTCCTTTTTAAACGTCGCAGCAACCCTGCCTTTCCTTCACCATACACGCTTTCCAAACTCCGTTGACCTATCAACCAACCTCGACACAGCTGAGGATCCTACCAGCCTGACGAGTAGCGAGACTCGAGGGGCGGATAAATCAATCTTTTCATCTCTGGCCTGGACCTCGACGACAACATTGCGAAATAGGCCGAAACACACAAAACACACGATGCTGATCGAGCCTGGCGTCGACCTCTTGATCCGCTTTGCGACTACGGCTACTTTCTCATAAGACGATCGAGATCTCATCTGGCGACGGCAAGAGAGGAGGAAGATAAAGAGGGAGGAAGTCTAGTACGACAATTGCCAGGTCACATACCGAAGTTTACTATCTCAATACCACCACCTCATCCACACATACCGATCGCACTTTCAATGTCCTGTGGCGTCGACTCCTGCGGAGCGCCCATTCCGACTTCGCCCATCGGCACCCTATTCTCCCTTTCGCCATTCATCGCTACCTTTGCCATTGTCAGCTCGGTAGTAGCCGGTAAGGTGTTCCCGAAGCTCTCCCGCGTACAAGACGACCGCGATGATGGCGAAGGCCACTATCTGCCCCCGTCAGCGCCTCTGAGCCTGCAACAAGCGCACGCCGAGCGCGGGGCCCGTTCGATGCGCCGCCGAGTAGCCGCCATAACATTCTCCGCTACGATAGGCCTGGCTGCCGTACTTGGAGAGCTCATCCTGGCCGAGATCTCGGATCTTGTCAGTGCCCACGCCCGCGCCGTCGCCCTGCGGTTCACGGTGCCGACACTCCTCTTCATGCTCGTGGTCCTCATTCCGTTCCTGGAGCTGCAGTCTGTCGTGCGCACAGCCAAGGGGCGCGCCCCACGCATCGCTTGGACCTTGCAACTCCTCGGCTTCGGCGCCTGGCTCTTCCTGTTCTGGTCTATAGGCAAGGCGGTGCCCCGTCCTGACGGGACCGAGTACCTCTGGGGGATAGCAAGCAGCGATGGGGCCGCCTTCGACAGCACCGCGCTGACCATCGGCCGGGCCGAGGCCAAAGCCGAGTCCGTAGGCGACGTTCTCGTGGGCGGTAGGCTCGCCCGCGCGTGTCTCGAGCGTATCGGCGTAATCGGCATCCTGCTGATGGCTTTGCTCTCCGGCTTCGCCAGTGTCTCGAGCCCCTGGCACACCTTCGCCGACAACCGGGCCTTCCGCAAGCGGCCCATCACCGATATGGACATTGCGCGCAAGCAGGCTGGGCTGGACGCGGCGAGTGAGATGTTGGCCACCAAGCGACACCGCCTGCGCTCTCTCCAGGACAAGCTAGCCTGGCGGGCCGAAGCTTCCAGCCACAACCCTGCGGGCAACGGCAACGGCAGCAGTACTCTAGTCGGCAAAATGTTTGGCTCCCTCAAAGGCTTAGCCACGGGCTCATCAGCAGAAGCAGCCGAGATCAAGTCCCTTCAAGTGGAAATCTCCGGTCTCGAAACTTTGGAATCCAACCTGTCCTCCTCGCTCTCCATCCTACGCTCACGGCAAGCCGCGCACGCCCGCGACGGTACACCCCTAGGCCGTCTCCTGTCCTTGCCATCCTATATCTTCAGCATCTACTGCATCTACCGCGTGCTCGCCACGACATTAACCACCCTTCGAAACCATCGTTCTTTCTTCTCCCTCCTCTTCTTCTCCTCCACCACCCCCTCCTCCTCAGGAGGGTTCACAGGAGGAAGCACATTCTCCTCCACGGACCCCATCAACCGTTTCCTCTCCCTTCTCGCCAAGCACTGGGACCCGAAACTCGACCAAGTCGCCTGGGCACGGCAAATCTCCTTTCTTCTCTCCGGAGTCATCCTGTTAGGTTCCGCCAATTCGGTCATTGTCACCTTCCGCATCTTTGCCAAGTGGATGCCAGGTCTACTGTACCAAGCGCAGGCGAACCTGGCCCTGTTGACGGCCCAAATCGCCGCCACGTACGTGATCAGCTCGGCGCTGTTGTTGCGGAGTAATTTGCCAAAGGAGGTGGGGAGGAGTGTGGGAGATGCGCTGGAGAGCGCCTTGGAGCCGGGATTTGTGATAAGTTGGTATGAAGCGTGGTATACGGTTGCCAGTGGACTTACGGTGTTGGGGATTTGGGTGGGGAGGAAGATGGGTGCGGGCACGTATACTTCTGCTGGAGGAGGAGGGGGCTGGTCAGGGTTGGAGGAGTGGGAGGAGTTTGGCGGGGAGGAGATGGGTGTTGGGGCTAAGAGGTCGTAATGGTCAAATGTTATGTGATGAAGTGTATTGGGTATGTTTTCCTTTGTAACGATAACCAATGGTATAAAGGGTCAGTCGGGTCAACGGAGGGCGCTGGAAAAGTATTTTGCTTGTATCGGTTTATCTGGTGTTAAAGGGATGATTTATATATCCTTCTGGCTTGGGGTATACCAGATACCAATTGACTGCTCCAATAAGCCGTGGTTTAGAATACAACTAAGCTTCGCGATCTCCCGAGAACACTGTTACTGCTTGTATTGTTTTCGATTCCTTACCATATCTTGATATGTTGTGTTGCCCTCTGACGAATTGAGCATCAGCCCTCAAAACATAGAGGACAACGATCTTCGTCTTGCTCTCGCCATGTATGGCTTGCTACATTCCTCTCACAGTTCACAACCTCAGGAGACTACACAATGTGGTCAACACTATACATTGTCGCCATTGCAGGCAAGACCTATTGCTTCTCGTCCTCGACTGAAATTCTATCCGATACCAATATTCCCATAACTCGAGACCCGTACTTACAACTATAGATACAGCGCTCCAAAGAATAGAGTGCCAAAGGCAGCTTTAAATCCCGACGTGGAGAGCCTTTGCTGACCACCTTTAACACCAGCAGGAAGGTCATAAGGACTTCCGCCACCGCCCCTTATCGGACGGCTTCCGATAGTTGTCCGGACGGAGCTTGTAGTTGTACCGGTCACGGCATCACTTGTTGTATGAAGGGGTGACTCCGTGGTTGGTGAGAGTGATATAGTTGTAGAAACGTACTCGGACTCCGATGTCACAGTCGGTTCAGGGGCATTGGGCGATTTTCCACCTTCCGAGGGCACGGAACCTTCAGACGTTGTTGACTCGGTAAGTCTTTCCGTTGTCGAGGTTCTCATGGTAAGTGTTGGCCAAGCCTTAGCTGTAGTCGTCATCTCTAGCTGGACCGAAGAGAGTGTCGATGTTGTACCCTCGGAGGTGAAAGAAGTGGGTATGATCTGAGGCTCGTCCGGGCACAAGAAATCGAGCAGCTGGTCTCCCAATGCCATTGCGAGAAGCGAGTTTGTAGGGGCGGTGTCATCGCGGCAAGAGAGTTGGAGGAGATCCTCAATCCGGAGGACGCCCTGCGCACAGCTCCTAGAGCAGTCATTTCCATCGAAGTCATCCGAGTTACAGCCTTGGAGAGGTTTTCGGTAAGTGAGGAGGCAGTTGCGAGAAACTGACAGGGAGGTGATGGGTTGGATGTCGTCAAGTGTGATAGCGGCAGAGACCGTTAAGATCATGATGAGCAGGGTAAACCACTGCAAAGGCCCAGCAGCCCGAAGATTCGCCATGCCGATTGTGATATTTGGTGATCGTTTCGGGTCAGCTATTGTGTGCTGATTGGGTGGATGAACCGGAGGAGAGTACCGGTGAATGGGTCGAGTTCAAGCTTCGCGTCCAGGCAATTGTGGTCGCCACTTCTCCCGGTATGCTTTCTTCAAGGTAAAGAAAGGCCCAAGGGCGAGCAAAAAATCGGTTGTGGCAGAATCCGAGGACTGGATGGCGCAAAATTCGAATGGGTGCGAGTGATGCGATCAGTTCCTGGCTACGTTTTGGCAATCGGTTGAAACTCGAGCAATCACTCCCGGCATCCAGTCATAGCTGCACGGAAAAGCTGAGAGGAGGACCACTCACCTGTTTGTACGTCTTTCTCTTTCCTTCTTAACCTCCCAAGTCAATGACGCGAAGAGAGAAAACCGTCATCAATTCATAAATGGCCGCAGGATCCGAGACTGGAGTAGTGGGGGAATAATCGATGGCCTTTTGCTGTGTAGAGTATGTTGGCAGAAGAAATCCGAGTGTGGACGAGCCTATCGATTCAGTTGATGTGATTGTGAGGCCAATGGGGCGAGGTCATACGCGAAGTAGCGAGCAAAAGGTTTTGAGAAAACGGACAGGTAAGGTTGGTGGTGACAAGAAGGGAAGGTGGATGGATGAGTCGAACAAACTGTTAAAGATTCACAAAGGCCTGACAGGTTCGTATGACGGCATGCGTTTCAAGGAGGCCGCATAATTGAAGAACATGGGGAGTAGCGGAGGAGGGAAGGAGGGGAAAAGAGAAGAGGTTGAAAGCGCAAATAGAACATGCAGAAAAAAGAGACGGAAGGAGCTTCAGTCTGGACTCGGATTCGTGTCACACCCTGATGCCAACAGCCCAACCTGGAAAAAAGAGAGAAAGAAACAGAAAGAGCACTAGGAGCTTGACTGGGGCATCATGATGTGTCCTCTTGTGCATTCACGAGGGTCATTTGAACTAGTGAGCATTACCATTGGCTGTTTGGACTCTTCAACCACCTAGGGGAGGTAATTAGATACAAAAGCACCAAGGCTTGGTCGTGCAGGCTGTGAATTTCACGAAGAATCCTGCTTCATGGTCCACCGCCGAGTTTACTTTTCACCCCCATCACGCATGACAAGCGCTTCACCCATCCAACATCTCAAAACCATCGCCAAAACAAAAACAAGGAGGAAGAGAAGGTGTGCAATACAAAGGAAATCCGTGTCAGTTCTGACTGTGATGGTGACAAACAATACTGAGAAAGGTATATAAGGAACCGCAGATCCTCTGAACTCCCGCCGAGGTCGACTTCTTTTCCGGTTGGGCAGTTGTTGCATGATATTGCCCGATTCTTTTAATCGAACACAGGTGCTAGCATCCTGACGTACCCACTGACCCTTCCCTGACGCCGTCTCTCAGACGCCTAGCCGAACAAGTTTGAGTAAGATTGAAACCCCACCGTTTATAGGCGGGAAGAAATGGACAACATGACAAAGTAGGGAAGGGAAAAGGGGGAGCGGAAGAATCGAGCATACAGAGTCGTAAAAGCATGAATCCATCTTCAGTCACGCTCAGGTAGGCAGGACGGCCTTCGCCGGGGTCCTCAAGGAACAATAACAGGAGCAAGATGAGACGTTCAAACAGCGCCCCTCAACCTCTGCTTGCGAGCAAGCCAGTCACCGAGCATATTATCAAGTTGCTGTATGAATGGCATATTAGGGACGGCACACTCTTGAAAAAGGTCAAGTGAAAATAAAAACTTACCGTCGTGATTTCCGCCAACTTGGCATTCTGTTCCTTGAACAAGGAGCCGGCGATCGGGTGATCTGGCCCAACAGGTTCAACATCCGACTTGTCATAGACCACAACAAGCATATCCCGAATTTCAGATCCCGAGTCGAAGAAGGCACGAAGACTGGCATCATTCCAGGTGGGCGTACTAGTCGAAACTGGTGAGGGAGGAGAAATGTCTTTATCATCCGCTCCGTCATCTTCATGCTCAATCATTTCCGGTGACGGCGTAAGTCTGGGTGAGGATCGATCCTCTTGGCTGGATGAGTCAGCCATCAGAGGAGGTGTTGGCGACGTCCGGTGATCGGCTTGAATAGGTGAAACATGTACAGGAGACTCGGACAAGCGCTCAGCGTGCTGCTGATACGACGGCGCCACACTAGAAGCCGCAGGCTGTGCGGTAGCGAACGGGTTGCGAGAGGTTTGTGCAGACCGCCCTTGCAGCCTCTGGGGTTCAGGTTCTTGGGCCGTTGCTGGTGACTGTTGTGTAGAACCCGTGGTGTCATCTTCATCGGAATCGAAATCCATCTCTGAGCGGGGTTGAGCCTGAGGAATTTGCTGAGCCCCGGCATCCCGAGATTGCCCCACGCTCTCTTGCTTCCTGGAAGTTTCCGGCGACTGTTCCCTTTGCCCACTTTGCTCTTGCGGGCCTCCTTCTGTCATGTCGTTTGGTTCCGGTTCGACCAGGCGCATTGTAGAAGGAGGAGTGTTGGAGACATTGTTAATCCTTCCAGCAGACATGTAGTTTGACGTATCCATGCTGGTATCCTTGAGTATTCCGGCAATGGGCTTCGCATTGGTGGGCTGTGACTTTTGCAACTTGCTTGGATTTCGTTGCGGGCCTGGTGCTCTCTCCGGCGATGAAAGAATATTCTGCTCGTCCTCTTCATGTTCTCTTTCGTGGCCGTCGGCATCCTGTGTCGATTTTCCGTGGGTCTCGTCATCTTCCTGTCCTTTCCTCTTGTCTTTTCGGGAGAAGAAACTTCGAATAGCACTAGGCTTCTTTGAGTTCTCCTTCTCCTTCCTTTTCTTGTCATCTTTGCTGGTAGGGCTGTCTTTTTCGAGCTTATCCAAGCTTGGACGCTGCTTCGACTGGTTTGAATCACTAGACGTCCTCGCGGCGGTATCGTCGCGGAGAAGGTTAGGAGTAAGGGTGATCTTCTTGGTTTCAACATCGTCCTTGAAGAAGGAGTCCCGAACATTTCCGTCGCTTGACTTCTTGGGTCCTTCGCTCGATTTCGACTCGAAGATTTCCTCGCTGTTTCGAATTCCAAGTCGGCCTGCGCTGTCTTCACCCGTTTTGTTGTCCTTCGTTTGCAGTGGCCTGGGCTTTAGAGGTTCAACCTTTGCTGTCTCGTCCTCGGGGTCTGTGTCGGATTCTATCTGCTGAACATTCGACTGCTGCGTCTTCTGCGATTGCTGCGTTTTCTGTGCCTGTTGCTGCTGACCGAAATATTCTGCATCTGGATCTTCTTCATCCGTAGAGTAATCGATATCAGAGTAATCGACGTATGTAGGAGCAGCGAATTGGACGGTCTTTCGCTTCGTTCGTTTCATCGCAGACACTATGGGGTTTCGAGGCTTGTCGGCTTGATCCCCAAGCATAGTGGCGGATAGCTAGGCGCTGTTAGCACATCGATTCTGGTTCGCGGAGAACACTAGAGGGTTGGTCATTACGTCTATGTTTCGGTGTTTGTTCAAGCGTGCCAATCTCTCTGTTGGCGTTTCGATATGCTCGGCGGGCAGGTAGCCTACAAGACAAATCAGATTAGACCACTACAACCGAAAGCTCGTTGCCCACTCAGGGAAGACATACCGATGCTGCTGTCTTTTACGACGCGCACTAGCCACCAGTAGCTGTTGCTGTCGTCGAGCAAAACCATGGTGTCGCCTTTTGTCGCGTTGGCTTGCCCTTCGACCGTAGCGACAAAGGTGTGGAGGGCGTAAACAAACTCGAAATCGATGTCCTCTGTATTTTGTAAGCACTCTCCACCCCAGCCCCATTCGAGGAAGTCTTCATCGTGAACGCATGAAAAGTCGCCATCATCATCATCTCGGTCGGACTCGTATGGTACCGTCAACCTAGGACTGTCGCTTTCCGACCCTGAGCCTCTCGCTGATCTGCAAATTGCTGTCACTCCTGACGTGTTCCCCATTGACGCAACGACGCTGAGATTGCTACCATTCAGCCTAGACGAGTGATCCAAAAGCAACCAGCGGGAGTTCTAGTCCTCTTCTCGTGGCCCGGTCGTTGTCTCTTTGTGGCTTACACACACCTCTTCCTCCATGAAGGTGTACGCTTCGGCTCCTGGCTTCGGGCCATCCGTTAGGTCGAAGTTCCCATACTTACCCTCAAGATGATGATGGCGACGAAGTATGCTGGGGGGGCTCTCGCCTATGGCTTGGGTCGCACGACCAGGAGGCAAGTAGTCAGGACAGTTGAGGTACGGAGACGAAGACCTCGGGTCGCTGACTGGAGACGAAGCCAACGAACTTTCGGGTGAGCTTCGTGGGAGGGCAGGACCAGCACAACTATGTGACGGCAAGAGCGGAAGGGTAAAGGAAAACCCACCATCTTCTATCGAGGGCGAGCTGGAGATCTTGTCCATTCCATCATCATCGTCATCAATCTCGTTATCGCCGTCGAGGTCCCCATCATCAATGTCGGAATGCCCGCCATTCTGCGCAACGGCCAAGGCGTCCTGGTGCGAGCGCGAAGCCATGTTGTTTCCACCGCCGCTATAGAGCTGATTTTGTAGGTTGTCGTGAGCCTGGTCAACGCCTGTTTCGTGATCGTGTGCGTAGCGATGGAGGCCACCAGCCTCGCCTCCAGACCAAGAGACTTGAGGGCTATGAATCGATTCCTCAGCCGCCTCCGCCGCAACTTCACGAAGGGTCTCAGCCTGGTGCGGAGCCAGGGGTCCGTTGGATGTCGAGCTATGGAAACCTTGGGTAGAGTGCGCGCCGCGGCTTTGGAGGTCGATCGTGTCTGGATGGAATAGGAGAATTAGTGTCTGGAGAAGATGGATAAGGTGTGTATGCAACCAAGGTAAGTGTAGGTCTGAAAAGAAACGCCAGGCCCTTGCAGCCACGAGAAGCCAGGGCCTGGCCGGTTTGCGACTAGGGGACTGGGGGGTGTGTGTGAGCGAGATGAAGAAAACGGGGCATACCGGCACGAATAATTTCGGGTCTTGTCATGTTGATGCAAGCGGCTCTGCAAGCGCCCCTTCAATAGTTGCACGTTGATTTCCTGTTAAGCTCACAGCAGTGGCTTGGGCCCAGGTGGCTCAAGATATGAGACAGAGAGTCTTGCGTAGTTACACCGTCGGTCTGAATGGATCACGAAGCTGCTAGATCTCAACCGCTGTCCCTTCTAGCCCCAGACGTCTAATAACTGGCCGGTCTGGCGCGCGATCCGCTTCAAGCGCATGCAAACACACAAGACTGTTGAGTGTTAGATGGGATGTTGGTTCTGCCGTCGCGGCTAGGACCTATTTCCTCAGGTAGTCTACAAAGAATCGATATGTAGGTTCTGCGCAATGGCTTGATGTCGAACGGATGGGAGCAGATGCTTCAAGCTTGGATTGATGATGCCGCCAAGACCGATGTGATGGATATGATCATAAAAGGAGAGCCAGCGAGTGGGTGGACTAGATT